TTAGACATAATGGAATTAAGTTTAGAATTAATCGAGGAGGGAATTTTAAACAGAGACAAATAATAAGTTGGAAGTGAGCAAAGAACCGAATTTACCAAGGCTAATATCCCTGCCAATGAAAGTGTGGCAGCCTTCCAACCAGCAAGTTTCTTGTAGAAATTTTGAACAACTAGATCCCAAAGGGATGAAGAATTCTTTTTTGCACCAAGAGGAAGCTCTAGGTAATCAGAAGGGAAACACCCAACTGAGCAACCAATAGTCCTCGCCCACTCCTCAACCTCTTCTTGAGTCGTATTGACACCAAATAACCTGCTTTTCTTTAGATTCAGTTGAAGTCCAGACATGACTTCAAAAACTCTTAGAACCCTATTAACATTTAAAATCTGCATCTTCGAAACACCACAGAAAATGATGAGATCATCTGCGAATTGCAAATGAGAGAAATCAACATACCTACCAATCTGCAATCCACAAAATAGCCCCTTAGATACTGCCTTTAGAAGCAGTAAGTTTAGAAGTTCCCCAACTAAATTAAAAATCAGTGGAGAAAGAGAACATCCCTGAATGAGACCCTTTGCCATTGGTAATTCCTCATAAGGAACCCCGTTGACCAAAACTGAAACCGAAGTTGTTGTAACACATTGTCTAATCCAACTACTCCATTTGATACCAAAGCCCATCTTCTCCATAACTTTAAATAGTATAGGCTAATCCACTGTATCATAGACCTTCCTGAAATCCACCTTAAAAACACATCCCTTAAGTCCTTTTTTCCTCCAAAAGTCTACCACCTCATTAGCTATAAGAGAACAATATAATATTTGACGACATGGGATGAAAGCAAACTGCATATAATTGATTATATCACTAATGCAGTTTCTTAATCTCCTCGAGAGACACTTTGAAAAGATCTAAACCACCAATGTTGGACCCCTTCGAAATTAGAGTAATGAAAGTGTGATTTATCACATGTTCCCATTCTTTCCCTAGATAAAAATTGTGGAAGAACTTAATAATACCTACCTTGAGGACAGACCAAAATCTTTTAAAAAGCCCATATTTAAACCATCCACCCCGGGAGCTTTGTTGTTGTCACATGAATTTAAAGTATCCCAAATTTCTTCCTCCAAAAATTCTTTTTCTAAAAGAATACTTTGCTCCAGTGAAATTCTGGAAAAGTTCAGCTTCATATCTTCAACTTCCAAGGTAGATCGGGTGTTAAAAATATCGAAAAAAAATAGTCCTTGACACTAGCTTTGATTATAACTGGATCTTGGATAATCTCACCTTTAACATTCAGAGCATTCATGAAATTCCTCTTCTTCCTAACTGAAGCACACGTATAAAAAAAATCTTATATTGCAATCCCCTTCTTCCACCCATTTCGATCTTGATTTTTGAAACCAATTATGTTCCTCAATTTTATAAAGCCTCCATAATTATGATCTCAAAGAAGTCAATTCTGCTTCTTTTTCTCTTCAACTTAAATCTTGCAGCTGCTGGAAATTTTCCTCTGCCTTGTGAATTTTCCTTTTCTAATTCAGCAATCTTTGTAGCTGGAAATTGATCTCTATTCCCAGCTCATTTTTTATTGTCAGTTTCGTTGCTTTCAGGATAGTCAGAATTCCAGCTCTGTTCTATTTTCTCTTCCAGTCTTGAACAGTAGAATCGACTAGTTTCTCAAAACTATCCTCATCCATCAAATAATTAAAGAGTCTGAAAGGATTTTTACCCCAACTTACTCCTCCATTCTCAAGAAATATGGCATTATAATCTGACACAGACCTAGGTAGTAAGGTTTGAACAATTTTAGGAAAAGCTTTCAGGAAATGAACATCAACTAAGAACCTGTCCAATCTAACAAAGGTGGAGATATCCTGATTGTTGCACCATGTGAACCTTCCCCCATTCAAAGGTAAATCAATTAATCTTGTTTGTTGAACAAAATGACTGAAAATCCACATAAAATTTATGTTTGGAGCTCTCCCAACCTTCTCTTCTTCTGATAAATACATATTAAAATCACCTCCCACACAAATAGGGATACTCTATCTGTTAAGGAAATCATCTAGCTCTTCAAAAAAACTGGTTTTCTCAACCTCAACTGCAGGCCCATAAACATTAATGAAATCGTACCTAAGTTGGTTTGTTCGAATTTTCCCAAAAATGGCAATAAATCTTCTGTTTATAATATGGTCTTCCAATTCAAACGAATTCTCATCCCAACAGCTCAATAAACCTCCATAGGAACCAACTGTTGGAGATTCTACAAACCCTTGAAGGTTATTCGACCCACTCCTTCTTAAAAAATATCTTTGTACCTTTTCTAATTTGGTTTCTTACAACAAAAGTAATAGAGGGCGGTTTTTTAAAACCAAATTTTGAACAACTCTCTATTTTTCCTTTCTTCCCAATCCTCTAACATTCCATGTAATTATGGCTAACTTAGTTTTCATCATTAATTAATCAAAAATCAGAATACCCCCAAAGATGAAAACCTCAGTTGGCCAACCTTAAATCTTTCTCCAAGTTCATAATTTTTCCAAAAATGTTGTCTTCCCTTTCTTAAAAGAAACCCCCAATAGCTTACTAACTTCCCAAGTAGCAAATGCTTCCTCCAAAAGAATCGAAAAAGATGAAGAAGAAACTGTTGTAGTGCTAACTTGATCTAATGCATCCCTTAGCAATAATCTTTTAGCTATTCTGTTGAATGTCTTAGATTTGAAACCATAATTGTCTCCTTCTAAAAGCCACCCTTCAATCATTTTATCCAAACTTTTGTCAGCTATTTGTCTCTCCATATTAGACTCCACACAGCCTTCCTTATTTAATTCTGCTACCATATTAACTGGATGAACTAAACTTAAGGTCATATCCTTCTCCTTCTACCTATCTAAAGCTCCCTCTTTTTCAGAAATTACAGTTTGATCATTCCCAAACCAGTGTTTTCTCTCCTTGAACCTTTTATACACCCTTTTGTAACTGTAAATTCTTCTCCTCTCCATCGATTCACTTTTGTAGATAATGTAGATTTAGACCGATAAAACGATCTTCCCCTAGAATTACTCTCTTTAGAATCTGCAGTAAAACAAACCAACATTAAATCTGTTATCGGATCCACGTCTCCACTGTGATCTATCGGACAAGTATTTGAAATTCCACCATTATTTTCTTCCTCTTTGTTGGTTGATTCAACCAGAATTTGATTGTGATCCATTTTCCCAAACTTATTTAGCTTAATTGATGGCCCAGAAAGAACTATCTTTAGTACTGTAGAAACAGACTGCTCGTTTTTTGCTGATTGGGCTTGAGACCCATCAGCCGAAAGATTTGAAATTCTACAACCCAACCCCGCATACTCTCCCATTTTGTTTCTCCCAAAATTCTGAAATTCTGACACCCTTCTTTTAATGCCTTTCCCATCTTTGTTAAACATTGGAAAGTGATTTTTCCCACCAACTCCAACCAAACCGTAGAAGCGCCCTGGTCAAACCATGTGTCTACCTTTTGTATACAATCCTCTATTGGTCGATCAGAACTTTCCTTACCATTTGACAACCCCCTGTCATCTTCCTCCTCGGACAACTTCTCTCTAGTTTGTCTTCCATCGAAACCACCCACCAGCAATTTACTAGGAAAGAACGTTGAATTCTCAAGCATCGATCCCAACTTAATACTTACTTTGAAAGACCTTCCATAAGATCCAAGAGTGATCACCACCGGGACATCATAAGGGCTCACCACCCTAATCAGAACCCTCGTCGTCGAGAGGTCCTCCCTATTTTTTTATAGCATCATGGATGTCTTCCACCGTCCCCTATCTCCCTGCTAACCATTTCATAAATGAGTTTTTCCAGCATAAAAGAGGGACCCCAACTAACTCTACCAGACAGAAAGCCATTGTAATATCATCTTCATTCAACAAGGGTGTCAACCGATCAAACCATAAATCTAGTTCATCTTTTTTCTTCAACCAAGCCTCCATCATCACTTTAGTCGATTTAAAAGTTACTGCACATGAATTCCAAACATAACCTCATCTAGACATCATAACCTTCATTTACTAGAGCCTTATGAACTATCTCTAACTCGAAAGAATGTTTAACGATCCCCGTTAATGACCTCTTAACCCAACTTGAACTCTCATAGGGAATATGCATTTCCCAAATGTTTTTCTTTCTTTTTCCCCTGTGAAAACCTTCATTTGACATCTCCCTATAATCCGATACATTGCTCTTTATTCTGTTCGACAGTAAAACATCCTTATAGGTTTTATCATCCCTTAAACTCCTATTAATCTCATCTTTCTCTTTTGACTTTGATGTATCTTCTATATTCGGCTTTGAAGCCATCATCAAAGAACTATTCTTCCCCACTGACCTCGAATGAGCTTCCTTGTATCTTGCAGTTCCAACTGTAATTTTCCTTCCATCTATCAATGAACCATTCAAGTTGTCTATTGCCCTTTTCAAACCTGCCTCGTTACCAAACTGCACAAAGGTGAACGTGGAGAATTTGTATTTCGTATTTCTTATTTCTTTGAGAATGAACACTCTTTATATAGGACCCTGTAATAAAAACGGTTCCCTTAACGCTCGTCATGATACTCTCCTGCTTAGATTATCTAAGAACTCCGTCCAAACTTCATCAAAAAAACTTTCCTTTCAACTTTTCTCTCTCTACGTCGCTATCTCTCTTACCCGTGTTTTTTTTTTCTATTCATGTATTTGGAAGGCCTTTGTAGTTATAATTAAATAATTGTCATCAAGTAGTAATCACAAAGAGCCAGGTGGCAGACCCACAAGATTTTCACATGAAAGCACATATAGTCCATCATTTACAGTCATGTCAAGCGGAAAAACCAGGAGAACCTTTTTAGTTTACTATTTTCAGTTTCAGTAAATATAAACTGTTTCCTACTCTGTACTGCTCTCACATAATGTAGAGCCGAACATCCCTCTTTTTACACTCATCAACACGGCCAATGCAATAACCTTCACAACCACGTAAAACATTCTCTACAATTTTACAATCTTCCAAGTGGATGAACCTCTAGATCTTCACTCCTATCCTTTGAGCAACCTGCATCAGGGCAATTCGAAAATTACATTTACATTTACCTTTTTTAAGTTTTTATTCAGATGATAATAAAGTGATAGGTGAAAGACAATCAGATAAATAGGTTAACATAGACACTAAAAATAGATATTCTTGGACATGAAGAAAATAGACAAAAGTCCAGGTGAAATGGGATTGCACAGAATTTTAACGGCAGTTAAAACAAATTTTAGCTATACGGCTAAGCCAAAATAATAAAAGCAATTACTCAGAAAATATCTCAAAAGAAATATGATTTTAGATAACATCATATTCTGATCCGATTAGAAATGTTAATCTGATAGCCCAAAAAACTTGACTCATATGTCTGGAAAAACAGATTCAAGTTGGCTTAAGTTTTGCTGCAATAGATCAATAGACCAAAAATGCCAATGCAAAACCCGAACTATTTCTGTGTCTGGTTATGGAAAAAGGGCAGGAGGAAGGAGCAGAACTAGGGGAAAACGTTTTCTGTTACACATAATTATCTATTTCTCTTTGGCAATGAAACAAACATTTATATCTCCCTCTTAACCAAACAAATAACTACTTGACTATTTATTCATTCTTAACCCTGTTCATATGTAAATGTATATATATATTTCCCTTTCACCAATGAAACATAATTTTAAGGTGAACGAAATAACCACATAGACTTTGTTCATTACCCTTCTCTTTCAAAATTAAAAAATTGGAGCATACCTCTTTGAACGAATGAACATCACTTCCCCAGAGGAAAGCATCACAACCTGCATCTCTGGCACCCCATATGTCGTTCCTTCGATCATCCCCTACATGGATAGCATCCTCAGGTTTTACGCCCAATAGCTCACAAGCTTTCAAGAATATTGTTGGATTTGGCTTCTCAGCTTCAACCTGGATACAAGAGAAAAAGTTAGGGAAATATGTATAAGAAAGTCGTTACCAAAAAATTTTGCAATATATGGATATAAATATCCGGTCATCAGTAAAAACTACAACAATCGCAAAGAAAATCTGGGAGAGCATGAAACATCTTTACGGCTGTAGTAATTATACCGTTTAATAACATCTTGATGGGAACTACCATGGAATTGGATGCCAAAAAAATATGCTCATGTTCAATATTTCAGAGAATAAATTATAAGGGGTTACGTTTTAAATATTGAGCTTATTTGATTAATTCAGCATACTCTATTTTCCTCAGTTTAACGCAACAACTCACAAGATAATTACAAGAAATGAATGGTTAAATAATCATGAACCAATTAAATCAAATGGATACAAGAAATGAAAATGGACAAGGTTCCAGATTTCAACATGTAACAATCTATAGAGAGAGAAAGAGAGTACTTCAGCTGAAACTGCCACAGCATCAAACCAATGGTCACAATTCAGAGCCTTCAAGACAGATCTTAATCGGGTGTCAAAATTCGATACAACGGCCACTTTTACACCAGCTTTCCTAAGAGTCATAAATACTTTCTCAGCCTCGGGATCACAGAGATGCCAAGCCTTCAGAAAAGCAATAGGAAAAATATTCATAAACCAAACCATGACGCTAAAAAATAATAGACAACGAATACTAACAATCCGACTTTGTTAGTAGTATAGTAGTTATATAGTTCTTCAAAGTACCGACAATCCAAGCAACCAGTGGAGGAACTGGCAATATATTGCCAGAATTGTCTCCCATCATTTACATATCTGCAAAATACCAAATATAACACTCTAATTAGCAATCATGAGGAGATAAAATTCTTGCATAGTAAGCTGTCAAATTTCAAATTGAACATATCATATTAATTCAAATTAGTTCTGTATCACCCGAAGTGAAGGGATTAATAAAGAAGTCGACAAAAACAAGACGGAATTACCTGAGACGAGATTTACCCCAAGGCTGAGAATAAGCCCTTCTGTATCTGTTCAATATCTCATCTTCAGAGTACTCTACCCCATATTTCTCCCCTATCTCTCTATATACCTAGACCCGCAACAAATTAAACCAACACGCGTAAATCTAATCTAAATTTATGCAAGTGCCTGAAACAGAGCATTCAAAAAAAATTGATAACCAAATGAAAAACAAAAGCATGCTTATAATGACATGCAAAGTTATTCATTGCAATGAATGAAATGTGAAGTGGACAGTCTGTCGAGAATATCTAAATTAAATATTAGGATTGTTAACTAGATATTTTATTTTGTTAGTTATTAGATAGAATCAGTTTTAATTAGATAGAATCAGTTTTTTATTTTGTTAGTTATTAGATAGGATCAGTTTTAATTAGATAGAATTAGTTTTATTCTGTTGCTAATTTTATGTATCTTTTTATGTAAAGTTGTTACATTGTAAACTCTATTTAAGTCAACCATATTCGGCAGAAATAAAATATATTCATTCGAAACAAGTTTTTTTTTCCACTATATGGTATCCGAGCCAGAAATGGCCAAACCCTACGATGATACCTCTGGTATCACCCTAAACACTGTATCCTTCCAAAACATATCCATCACTTCTCATAAGTTGAATGGAAATAATTTCTTACAGTGGTCACAATCTGTGAAACTGTTTATTCGTGGCCGTGGAAAATTCGGCTATCTCTCAAGTACCACTACGAAACCTGCCGAAAAAGATGAAGAATCTGAAAGATGGGAGGCAGAAAACTCGATGATTATGTCTTGGCTCATAAATTCCATGGATCCGAGTGTAGGGAGAACTTATCTCTTCCTACCTACTGCTCATGACATTTGGAATGTTGTGAACGAGACATATTCTGATCTCGGGAATGCAGGACAATGGTTTGAGCTAAAACAAGGAGAAAAAAATGTCACTCAATACTACACCGACCTCAAGACCTTGTGGCAAGAGGTTGACATGTTCAACGACTACGAATGGAGTTGTGCTAAGGGCAGGGCTCTATTCCAGAAGATGGTGGAAAAAGAACGCGTCTTCGAATTCCTAGTCGGCCTTAACAAGGAATTGGATGAAGTCAGAGGGCGCATTCTTGGTCATGAACCACTACCAAGCACAAGAGAAGTCTTCTCCGAAGTCAGACGAGAGGAGAGCCGGCGGACAGTCATGCTTGGAGGCCACTCACCAAATCCCACCGAGTCTTTTGCCTTGTTCTCGGGTCAGCCACCACGTCGCAACGATTGTCGGAACGACAGAGATCGGCCAATCTGCGAGCACTGTAACAAGTCGGGACACACTAAAGCCAAGTGTTGGAAGCTACACGGGAAGCCAGCCGAGAATTTTTCAGCCAATCAGAATTCTCGTAATGCAAAAGGATTCCATGCCTCATCTGAAGATGCTTCTGAAGAGCCGAAACTTACCTCAGAACCGTCTGCCTTCAGCAAAGAACAGCTAGAGCAATTGTATCAACTAATGAGTTCTCATTCCATATCCAACACTCCTAACCCATCATCTTATATTGCCTCTTTATCATTAGCCCAGAAAGGTACATATCCTATCAAACCCTTGGATCATAGATTCAGGGGCAACAGATCACATGACCGATAGTTCCTCCATATTCTCATCTTATTTTTCTTTATCTGGTAATCTGAAAGTAAAAATTGTTGATGGTTCCCTAACCTCTATAGCTAGAAAAGGCTCTATCATTATTTCTCCATCTCTCACATTACTAAATGTCCTACATGTCCCAAAGCTCTCTTGCAATCTCATCTCTGTTAATCGTATTATTCATGATTGCAAATGCATTGCTACAATAACATTTGCTGGATTTGAATTTCAGGACCCTTGTTCGGGGAAGATGATTGGCGATGCTAAGGAGGTTGATGGACTCTATCACTTGGTCACGAAAAATCCTTCAGATAAACAAGTTCAGAAACCAAGATGCTTCACTACCTTGTCTTGTGAGAATGAAATAATGTTGTGGCATTATAGGTTAGACCATCCTAGTTTTAATTACTTGAAATATTTGTTTCCAAATCTTTAAAAAAAAAGGACGATTTTTCTTTTCAGTGTGAAGTTTGTGAATTGGCAAAACATCATAGATCTGTTTATCCATCTTTAAAGTATATGCCATCAAAACCTTTTTCTCTTGTGCATAGTGATATTTGGGGCCCTTCACGAGTAAAAACAGCCTCAGGATCTAGATGGTTCATCACATTCATTGATGATCACACTAGAGTCACGTGGATTTATTTACTAAAAGAAAAATCCGAGGCAGCAAGTGTTTTCAAAAATTTTCACTCACTGATCAATACTCAGTTTCAAGCAAATATTCAAGTTCTTAGAACCGATAATGGTCGAGAATATTTTAATGCAATCTTAGGTGATTTTTTGAAACAAAAAGGAATTATTCATCACATTTCTTGCGTTGATACTCCCCAACAAAATGGAGTTGCTGAAAGAAAAAATAGGCATTTATTAGAGGTGGCTAGGGCTTTACTGTTTGCTATGAATGTTCCTAACCATTTTTGGAATGAAGCACTCTTAACAGCGTCTTATTTGATAAATTGAATGCCTACAAGAGTTCTTAATTATATCACTCCTTTGCAAGCTCTAAAGAATATGTTTCTTGAAAATAGATCTTTCACTGATTTAACACCTAAAATTTTTGGTTGCATTGCTTTTGTTCATATACACGGCCAAAATAGAGGAAAATTTGATCCCCGAGCACATAAATGCATATTTCTAGGTTTTTCACCAACACAAAAAGGGTATAAATGCTTTGATCCTAAATCTGGGAAGTATTATGAGAGTATGGATGTCACATTTTTTGAAAAACAACCTTTTTTTGACAAAAACTCTCTTCCATGGGAGAATGACTCTGAAATGAGTTTTTGGGAACAAACATCCTTGCAAAAATTGGTTGTAAATAGCTCAGTGGAACCAATTCATATTCATGTAACTAATCCTAGGATTGCACAACCTATAAATTCACAACCTCGTGAGACTCAGGTAGTAACCAACTTGGAACCACCTACTGAACTTCGTGCTTATTCTAGAAGGATGACTCAACCTTGTAATGTTCCACCGGCCTCCAAGGTATGCCAACCATCGGACTCGACTATGGTCCAAGGTACGACTTCTCTTTCTCTTATTTCTTCTCCAAATTTAGAGCCTTCTATAGAATTCTTTGAACCCATAGCCTTGCGTAAAGGTGTCAGATCATGTACCACAAAACATCCAATATCCAATTTCGTGTCTTATCATAAACTCTCTCCAGATTTCAAAGCTTTTTCCACCAGGATTATGGATGATGAACTACCTAAGTCGATACATGAAGCTCTAGAGGTTCCGAGATGGAGAGAGGTAGTTTTTGAGGAGTTAAAAGCCCTGAAGAAGAATGACACGTGGGATCTAACTCCTTTACCTGAGGGGAAACGATCTATAGGCAGCAAGTGGGTGTTCACCATCAAATACCATACAGATGGCTCGGTCGAGAGATACAAAGCAAGACTCGTAGCACGAGGCTTCACTCAGACATACGGCCTTGACTACAAGGAAACCTTCGCTCCTGTGGCCAAACTAAACACCGTACGTGTCCTACTCTCACTAGCCGCCAATCTGGATTGTACTCTCAGACAGTTTGATGTGAAGAATGCGTTCCTAAACGGTGAGCTAGAAGAAGAGGTGTTTATGGAAGTTCCTCTAGGCTTTGATGAATTGAAGAAGGATGGCAGGGTTTGCAAGCTAAAGAAATCCATTTATGGATTGAAACAATCTCCGAGAGCCTGGTTCGAGAGATTCACTAGAGCTATGAAACAACATGGTTACACTCAGGCCCAGTCCGATCATATTATGTTCTACAAACACAATAATGGTAAAATTGCTATTTTAATTGTGTATGTAGATGACATTGTTATGACAGGAGATAACACAGTAGAGTTGGAGTCGCTGAAGAACTTCTTATCCAACCAGTTTGAAGTCAAGGATATAGGACAACTCAAATATTTCCTTGGAATGGAGGTGGCTAGATCCTCAAAAGGTATAATTATCTCGCAAAGGAAATATGTCATCGATATCTTGAAAGAGATCGGATTACTCGGATGTAAACCAGTGGCGACTCCTATTGATCCGAATCAAAAACTCGAAAAAGAAGATGGTGTTGAGCCTGTGGACAAGAATCGGTATCAGAAGCTGGTGGGGAAACTGATTTATTTGGATCATACGAGACCAGATATTGCATTTGTTGTGAGCTTGGTTAGTCAGTTTATGCATTGTCCCTCAGAAAGACACTTCAAGGCTGTTTACCGGATTCTTCATTACTTGAAAGGGAGTCCGGGTAAAGGAATCATGTTTTCGAAGAATGGAAGTCGAAGAGTGGAGATCTTCACTGATGCCGATTGGGGCGGAAGTTCTACAGACAGAAGATCTACCACCGGTTATTGCTCCTTTATCTGGGGCAACTTAGTTACTTGGAGAAGCAAGAAGCAACCAGTTGTCTCTAGCGGAGGCCGAGTTCAGAGCCATGGCGCAAGGAGTATGTGAGCTGTTATGGCTTAGGAGAATCTTGGAAGAACTGAAGGTTGAAGGAGATAAACCGATGAAGTTGTATTGCGATAACAAATCGGCAATCAATATTGCTCAGAATCCTGTACAGCATAACAGGACCAAACATGTCGAAATAGATCGACATTTCATCAAAGAGAGGCTGAAAAATGGCGATATCTGCATACTGTTTGTTCCATCATCAGAGCAGCTCGCCGATGTTCTCACCAAGGGACTGTTTACTACGATGTTCGAAGGATTTATGTCCAAGCTGGGAATGATCGATATCTATTCTCCAGCTTGAGGGGGTGTCGAGAATATTTAAATTAAATATTAGGATTGTTAAATAGATATTTTATTTTGTTATTTATTAGATAGAATCAGTTTTTTATTTTGTTAGTTATTAGATATGATCAGTTTTAATTAGATAGAATCGGTTTTATTCTGTTGTTAATTTTATGCATCTTTTTATGTACATTGTAAACTCTATTTAAGTCAGCCATATTCGACAGAAATAAAATAGATTCATTCGGAACAAGTTTTTTTTAGACTATACAGTCAATTAAAGAGAAAGACCTGAGCCATGGGCTGAGAGGGAACAAGGAGTGTGCCAACGGCGTCAACAAGAAGAGCCTTGTGAGTGATCTCTCCGTAACGAGACCGCCTATAATCATCATAATCTTTCACTCCCGCAACTTCCAATCCCATTGGCTCTGTTTGTCTCCGATGGGCCACCGCTGCAGCAGAGGAAGGGGAAGAGAAGCTGCGGTCAAAATGGGCCCATCCGCATCCAACCATTGAAAACCCCCGGCCTTAGAGACGAGGTCAAGAACCTACAAAGTTTGGTTCGTGTTGTTGCCATAAGTATCATATCCTGAGCTTCATTTAACTCTCTCTCTCTCTTTATTCGCTTAAAAGCCAGCTCCACAGAACTGAAAAGAGAAACGCCTCACTGAAACCACGAAATCTTTTCCGAACCCTTCAATGCTTATGTGGTTCAATGATATTATCGTTTTACCCTTAATTTACCTTTACCTCTCTCTTTTTTCCCCGTTAAATAAAATTGTGTACTTTCTGTTTCAAGGGATTTTAGATTATTTTTAGCAATATGCATTATATTTAAGGGTTAGAAAATCCAATAAAATGATTATTTTTCACATGCATTATATTAACTTAAATATGATATGACATTTTGAAATAACTCAACACAAGATAATTAATTCCTTTATTCTTAATATTCTTGCATTCTTGTCTCCACATTGACCATGTATAATATGATACTTCTTCCAACTTCGATCACTTAAACCTTATATAAATATAGATTATAATTTAAAAAAAAAGTGTTACTATTCTCATATTGATTCTTGCCTCCACACTAACTCTATGTAAACTCTTACTATAACCCTCCAGTATCCGGGTCATATAGCATGACATCATTACAGTTTAAGCCTCATTTACACTCTAATTTTATATGTAGCCGGTGGTGTACTCTACACTTTTTGAAGCTGACCATACATCCACTTCCTATACGAGTAAAAAGGAATTAACCCAAAAAAATATGGTTTTCAGCACCAAAGATTTCCTTTCTAAGTGGTTTCATTTGTTAGAATCATAACAACTCATGTTTAGATCTTTTTAAATAATTGCTCAACTTTCTTTTAATAATATAAGACAATTACAAGATAGTATATGTCTAATAATTAATCAAATTTTAAAAAAATGTTGGTCGAGATTCAAACGTAAAATGACGTAGTACTAAGTGAAAGAATGCAGAAGCATTGTTGGAATGCCATCTTCTTGGTTCATGGACATAACCAGAACGAAGATATTGATGTAAGCATCCCACTTGGTAAGTAACCAAGGCAGCACCAACCATATCCGCACTTCCTAAAGATATTGATACAAGTATCTCGCTTTTAGGCACTGGTATCTTCTCCCCACGGTTGATTCCTTTTTTTTTATAGTTATTTTTTTCCAAAATTGTAAACGATTATTTGAATTCAAAGGGGTAAATTAGGGCATTTAAAGATTGAGAATTTTTAAAGAGAAAGTCAAACAACCGATCAGCATGATTGTCTCGGGTGTTAAAAGTGTCAAGTCAGTTGGTTTAACCTATCACACTATGTTATCTTCAATAACAATTACTAACAACAAGTGATCGATTTGTTATAAATTAATAGCATTAATGATTAAATCGTTACTTTTGAAATATCAATTAAGAAAAAAATTACTCAAACATCAGTGATTATTTATGTAGTTTACCCTTATTTTAATTTTTAAGAAGTTTTAACATACCTATGTAATTTTTATATTTTTATATTTATAATTATTTTTATTTTTCCAAAAATTAAGATGAAATTTATAAAATTTATAAATATAAATAGTTATTTTTTAAAATTTATTTTTAATTAAAACCAAATTAATATTAGTATGATGATAACTTTTAAAGATTAAATATTTATTATATTATGTAATATTATTATTTGTTTTATTTTTTAAATATAAATTATCAAAATAAAATAAAATAAAATAAATAAAATAAATAACATTAATAATTAAAATGAATATCTTAACTATTAAGTGATGAAAAAGAAATTTCATAATAGCTGGACGACTAAATAATCAGTTTACCCAAAGCAAAATCCTTTTAAAAAATTTCGACCTATTTCCAACTCTTCACATATCCCCGCCGCCATATAAGCTCCTCGCCTGTTTTTCTTATCCCTCTGCCTATCCTTCAGGTTTCCGACAGACCACGAAATTAAATAAGGTGAATTTTAAAACCCTAAACTTTTCTTGAAGATTCTACTTAGTCATTAGGTTTTTGAGTTACTTGTCTCTTCATCTGCATCACTCTCTTGCATTTGATTCTCTGTTTTTGAACCTGCTGCAAAGCCACCGCTATTTGAACCCTGATCATTATATCCTATTGAATTCTTTTATTTGATGTAAAAATCATGCATATTCAACAGCTTTTCCGGTTTAAACTGGAATATGAGTATGAAAAACGAGTGAGTGAACTTAATCAAGCGTTGATTTCAAAATTAAAAGTATACTTGGTCAAAGCAAATTTTGAATTGTTTTCGAGATTCTCACTATCTGGACTTTGACTCAGCTGAATGAATTTAAATTCAATTACTTCATTTTCGGTTCTGAAAATATCAATAAAAGTTGTTCCACTTAAGAGTTTATTGTCTTAATCTAATGTAGTGTTATCTTGTTATGCTGCTTCTTATTTAAAGGTTAGGCCAAAAAAAATATTTTGATTCGATAAGATGGTACGACCATATGCTATAAAAGGGAAGAAACGGAAGAATAGAGAAGAGAAACATGATAAAGAAGAAGAAGTAGAAGAGAGAGACCCTGCAAAGCTAGCTTCTATTGAAAAGCCAACAAAGGAATTTGAAGGTGAAGAGGAGGAAGAAGGCAAAGCTGGAACAGATGAACTTGTGGGAATCCCAATTGCGCCCAGTGATAAAAAGGCTAACAAAAATGGGGTCATTTTTGTTCTTGAGAAGGCTTCCTTGGAAGTTGCTAAAGTTGGAAAGGTATATGCTAGCATAGTATATGTAACTTGTGCTTAACATTTCTGTTATCATTCACAAGTATGAACTTCTGTTTGTATGTATGAAGTTAGTATAGTAGTTTTCTACTGCAATTTATCTTATTGGGTGTAAATTTTTACAGAGTTTCCAACTCTTGAACTCGGATGATCATGCAAATTTCTTGAGGAAAAATAACAAGAATCCTGCTGATTACAGGCCTGACATAGCACATCAAGTTTTTTTCCTTTCCTTTCCTTTCTTTTTTGCTATTTATTTCTGTATGTTTCTTCTGTTAAAATTGTGACGAACTAATTGGTACTGCATTCTCGATGCACTGAGAAAAGGCCTGGTTTTAATCTTAAAGGAGAATTTAACTCATTTAATTAACTGCTAATTGTGTTGTTTCCCTACAGGCTCTTCTCTCGATTTTAGATAGCCCGGTTTAAAGGAGAATTTAACTCATTTAATTAACTGCTAATTGTGTTGTTTCCCTACAGGTTCTTCTCTCGATTTTAGATAGCCCGGTCAATAAGGCTGGCAGATTGCAAGCTGTGTATGTTAGAACCGAGAAAGGTGTACTTTTTGAAGTTAAACCTCATGTTCGAATTCCAAGAACATATAAACGGTTCTCTGGTATCATGTGTAAGTTATCATGCTGAGATTATGCCTCTTCTGCTGCGTTTTAAAACTTTTACCAGGCTATTTTTATTGACCTATTCAACAATCATGCAGTGCAGCTGCTACAAAAACTAAACATAACTGCCGTTGGCAAGCGTGAAAAACTTTTAAGAGTGATAAAGAATCCTGTAACCAATTATTTTCCTGTGAACTCACGCAAAATAGGTGGGTTGACTGCGGTTGTTGTTTAGGTGAATACAAATTTGTTTTATTTTTCCAGAATTCATGTTGTTTTTCTTGCACATCAGGTTTCTCATTTAGCTCAGAAAAGTTGGTTAAAATGAGTAAATACGTGGATGCTGTTGGTGATGATGTGAATCTTGTCTTTGTGGTAAGTCCTGTGTGACATACAATTCTGCTATCTCCTCTTTACATAACTCTCTCTGCTTATCCCATCTCTGTGCATTTCTCAGGTGGGTGCATTGGCCCATGGGAAAATAGAGCCAGACTATATAGATGACTACATATCGAGTAAGTTCCTCATTTTTTGTGTATGTATGTATGTTAGATTTTGTTTTGAAAATTTCTGAGCATTTTGATCCACGAGCCCATGGATCGGATAAGAACCATTGAATCATGCAGAAATCCAGAGGGAGTAAGCCAAGGTGATAGGATAGATAAAAGCAATTAATAGTGCTTACATATAAGCCTGGAGTGTAAAAATAAGTGGATGTTTCCAATGCATGGTAGATCCTTTTTACATGAATATTTCTGGAGTTTGTGATTTGTACTTTGCTCATCCTACCTATTTATTCAGTTTTTTTTTTTGTAAATATTTGTGTTCAATATATATCTTGATTCTCGATATAGGTATAGGTATATAAATCCTTCATACATGTAATAGTTTAAGAATTTTTTTGAGCATGTTAATCTTGCAAACATACTCGATTCTTTTATCCCTAGTTCGAGCTTTATAACCATATTTAAGGCTGTCACATTTTATCATGCTTAAGGGCGAAAGACCTACATCACTGCCTTGTATGGGTTTTATTTGTCCTTTTTTTTCTCTTGCAGTTTCTGGTTATCCACTAAGTGCTGCAATGTGCATTGCAAGGATTACTGAAGCTCTGGCAGATAAGTGGAATATATTGTAATCTGTGTTGCAATGACGTTCATTTTTGGGATAGATATAAGCTATGTACGTTTATTTTATGTTACAAATACTCTATCTTTTGGCTGCATTTTATCCATCAGTAGCAATGGTGACCTTAAACATGTAAGTTTATTAGGTTAATCGAGATAAGTCGTTTATTAGGTTTATATGTTTATTTTGCAAGTTTTATCTGTTTTTAGTGGTTCGGTTATTAGTTTTAGATGCTTAAATCAAATAAATCGATTAATAAATAAACCCTTACATTGATATTTAACCTACACTTAAAATATCCGATCCCAATTTTCATTTTTACCAACTAACTTAAAATAAAAAGTTAAATAATTAACTATAAATAGGAGTTGGATTAGTTGATAGAGTTATAGAAGAAAAAATGCACTTGTGGGAAGAATATTTCAAGCAATTTTCGGAAGATCATCTTTGGTCTAACTACTCTTTAGATGATTTGGATTCAAGCTCATCTTCATATGAGGAGTGGATGAAAGAATCAATAAAGTGTATTCTTGATCAACATAAGGAGTTGAAGAGGGAGGAGGAGGAGGAGAAGAAGAATGGAGAGTTAGCAAGCCGACACAACAAACGAGTCATCGAAAGGTATGAGAATAAGAGAAATAATGTAAAAATTGAGAGGAAAAGATGTTTATTTTGTTGAGAAAATGTTCTAAATAAATGTATGATTTTGACTTTAGTTAAACGTTATAGTTTACAATTATATATGGAAGGTAAAAAACTGAAAAATTATCATTGATATTTGTAAAATCGGTACAAACATGATTACAAAGGATTTATTGGCCTGCTCTATATCTTGGGAGATATGTACAACGCTTCCTATTGTGACCTTTACCTCTGCAGTAGCCACATATCTTCTGCAAACTTTGCTCTCTTTGAGGGTCATCCATATTAGTATGAATTTAAGTAGATTCAAGACTACCCATTAACTTCTTGTGTAATTGTGAATTGGGTAGCCATTCTTCAGAGACAGTAAGTGGCCAAAATGCATCATTTTGGAGGTACTTGAACTCACAACTATATATGTTGCGTATACTTTGCAAACTATAACAATCATCAATGTAAATGTATGAGTCTACATTCACATGCATACATGCAGCAATTGCGTGAGTGCATGGGTATATGGAGGCTTGAAATCAACCACAATCACATCATATTCTATTTAAATTACCAATATAGGTGATAGAAGCCTCATCCTCATGTAGTCAAACAAGTGCTTGGACAACATAATCAGATTCCAATCTGGCAAAATTATGAATATGCATTGATGTTGCATGATGTTGATTTTTTTTTCATTGCTTTCTCCAAATCTGGAGCCCAAGTTCTACCTTCTTTGAATTATGTCTCCCGAACAATACTTGCCACGAGAAGATGTCTGGACCCTTTTAATATTGAATTGATACACTCGACAAGATTGATTGTCATATGACCGTAATGTCGACTTTGGTCGTCATATGACTGTGCCCATCTTTCCTAAGGTATCTTAGCTGTAAAGTTAAGCAGCTCTTCTCCATACTTTCTCAAATTTTCCAGTCATGCATGAAAGCTCGGTTGCAGTAATGCATAGCTAGGAAAAATAGTTATGTGTAAGTATAATATTTTTAAACGAAGAACAAGACCAAAAAATGAAAGGTGAAACGAATAAGTCACTCATGTTGATAATTTCTTTCTTTATCTTATTCTTAAATCTCGTTATAGCATTTTAAGTAATATGGCGTATGCAATACGCAGGGAATGCATGAGGAGGTGACCTCCTACTTCCCGATCTGTCAATCATGACCAACAACCCAGGCAAACGGTTTGAGATCATAAAAACCTCATCTTGGGTGACAACATGGGAGCGCAAGTTTGACAGAAAGAAATTCCACGTTTCCTCGAACACATTTTTTACAATGGCGAAGACAATGGGGAAGATGTTTCTGTCACTATCTTGTGCAACAACTACCATAAGGATCGATTTGTATAAGTCGTACAGAAAAGTGCCATCCACTTGAACCATCTGTTTGCAGTAACGGAAGCCTTCAATTTTTGACTTGAAAACCTATAATAAGCCTCTGAAAACTCTCTTCCCAGGGATAACTTGTCCATCAAATTTGGTTGCAGAATGAGTGTATGAGCGAACAATGGTCCCGAGATGAAATATTTTATCACGTGCAACAGATGGGGCAATTCATTATACACCTGATCCCAATCACTATAGAGTATTGTCATAGCTTTCTGTTTAGCCATTTAGGACTTATAATAAGATGAAATATAACCAAATGTATTTTGTATTGATGCCATGATCATTGTTATCGGGATCCTCAGATTTTTCTCGACTAGTAGCTTCATGTAAGCACATAAAACATCGAAGTCTAAGTGTTTGTGGTCTTGAGTATAAGAGCTTAACGTGCAACTGTGTTAGTTGTGAAACCTTGTGACTTCTCATAACATCTTTTGTTGTAGGTATGATACATGTATCCTCCATTTACAGCCGACATTGTTGTTAATACATCTGAAAAATATGTCTTCTGGTTAGACTCCACAACGGTGAATTCTATATGAGCTTTTATACAAACTCCTTCACAACCAGTTGCGAATCATTCTTACTCCCAAACAACGACCCAACTCCAAGCTCCTTTGATTTTTCATCTGAGGTCCCCCAATGGGTTGTGCATATATTGGGCATATCAGGAATCTTAAGATTCCTCATGGCATCATAGTTTATCTCATGCATTGCAACTGTATGACGGTATTGAGGCATCTAGGGGTACGAATTTGCTGCTTGTATGGTCGTTGGTGGATGTGCCCAAACTGGACGAGAATTTTGCATTGATTGGCCACGAGAAATGGCTATCTCCCAAACATTACCCTCTATGTCAAAGGTTGAAGTAGCCTCGACGATATTAGATTCATCAATTATTGGGGTGTTATCGCTCATCGTAAGTGAAACAAAAGTTTCATCGTCTTCGCTAAAATCAGCAAGAATTTCATCGAATCGCCCAACGAGGTTATCTACATCTTCTTATGGTTATGCTTCAGTGATCACTGGTGCAACTGTTAAGGAAGTAGGAACATTCGTAGTTTCAACAATAATCTCAATCATATGATTATCGAAAGATTGATGAAGACCAACCATAACAACTACATCGTCATCATCTTCGAGCACAATTGCTCTATATTTCAGCGGAGTCTCTGAAACGATGTGTCGATATCTCAAACTTGAAATAGAAGCTCTGATTTTGTTTTCGATTTTTATCTTCATTTACCCATAAGTTACATTCTCCATGAACATCATGTTCACGGGACTCTGTGACATAAATTGAACACCATCTTCAGCTTCAACAACTTGGCCATTTGGGTGGACAACTGCAAAAAACGTGTCTGCCATAGCATCAGAGAGAAATTGATTTTTGCTTATTCAAAACAATTGCAGCAAAATAACAAGACTTGTGAAGATTCATCAGAAGTGGGCCAATTTAAAACAAATATGACCCCCCATTAATTATCATCCAACAACTCTAGTGAAATGTTATCTCAATCTTCAATCTTTCAGCTACTTTTCAGAGGCCATTTATTGCAGCAACAATGCACCGTTTCAATTACTTTTCAGAGGTCATTTAATGCAGAATTCAAGCAACTATTAAGAAAACGGGTGAAAATAGTGTTGCATTATCATCTTCTGCAACTTCTTAGTGATATGTCAACTCAAATCAAAAAAACTTTTCAATGTTGAATTGCCACTTCAAATCAAAAAACGTGTATTTTAACCAAGCCAAATTATTCATTGCTTCAGTTACTTTTTTGTTCTCAATTAATTCACTGTTTCAGCTATTTTTCATAGGTCATTTATTGTAACAATAATGCATCGTTTTAGTTACTTTGCAGAGGCCATTTAATGGAGAATTCAAGCAACTATTCAGAAAACGGGTGAAAATGGTGATGCATTTTCATCTTCTGCAACTTCTCAGTGATATATCAACTCAAATAAAAAAAAATTCAGTGTTGAATTATCAATTCAAATCACAAAAAACGTGTATTTTAACGAGGCCAAATTATTCAATGTTTCAACTACTTTTCGATGCTCAATTAATGCACCATTTCAGATACTTTTCGGAGGTCATTTATTGCAGCAATAATGCACTGTTTCAACTACTTTTAAAGGTCATTTAATGTAGAATTCAAGCAACTATTTAGAAAATGGGTGAAATAATGGTGCATTAACATTCTTCAGCAACTATTAATATTTGTGAGTTGAAAGCCATTTAACTTTAATATTGAAGCAAAAAAATATAACACCTTCAATCTTTCACTTCCAAAGCTTGAGATTTTTTCAAACATGTAAACTCTTTGTGCAACTGTTTTTTACGATTGCAAATCTACAACCATGTGTTTCCCAAAAAATATCCAACTACACGAGTTAAAGTCTTCTATAAAAACAAGAGTTCTACTCGGAAGTAGAAGAAGAATATCTTCCATATATTATAAATTTCCAGTATCATGCACGAGGTTTCATCTAAGCGATGATGTAAACCTTGTTGCATGATTGAGACATATTTCTATCACTCTTTGTTTAATGTTTATTTGTTTGTAGAGTTCGATGATCTCGACTTTGCTCTTACCATTGAGGATGTTGCTTCCAACTAGAATATCCCACCAACTCATACAAATGACTAGGAAAAAAACATAGATGACGGGGACCCATAAGCATGGTTCTAATTCGTACATGAACAACAACAAAAAGAATGAGGAATTGAAAAACTTAATCTTACTTTTGACGAGTCTATTGATTACGAAGATTAAAACTTCTTAATCAATGTTGCTATGTTAATGATTTTATTTAATATTTATGGTATTCTTAAGATTAGTTATATTTATGTCCTCGTGTTAATGTATTAAATTTGTATTTTTTCTTTTCAACATAGTCTACCACATTTTGGACAGCAAGAAAAATACTAGTGGAATTCGCCACCTTGTTCCACATTTTTTTTTTGAAAAAATAAATTCACTTAATAATCTTGAAAAAAAATAATTTTGTAATGAAACTCATCACCTAAAGAAAATTTTAAAATACTGAGTCCGGAATAAAAAATTTATATCTCATGGAACTCCTCACATCGTGATAACGAGTTCACCCTACGCTGTAGAAAATACCGTAGATCTAAAAAATAATTTCTGGGATGCCTAATTGAGCCAAATAATCAGCCCGCTAGGAAAAAACAAAGATTACAGTATGATTTGAAGCCCAAAGTCAATCGTATAGAAAGTTTCAAATTATGATTTTTTTTTAGAACCTAGTCTATCATTTCAAATCTCTTTACTTTTAAAAAAATGTGTGTTTTTAATCCTTTAATCAGTTTTTTTTTTGGGGCTCTTGCACACATTACTTTTTTTTTGTATAATTACACAAAAATCTTATCATTTTATTTTTAAAAATGGACAAATTTTGTCCAAATTCTACCAAAGATGTCAAAATATGTCACCTTAAAAAATTTAATATATTTGATGAAGACAATAAAAGTAGTTTTGGAACTAAAAATATATATTTTAAAAGATACAAAAGTATAAACTATGTTGATAGTTCCTTATGTTTTCAGTATGATCGACTTTGGTCATCGAAAAAAATTTAAGGGAACATGGTCACTAACACCATTGGTCCGTCCGATTTAAGTCACTAACGTTATTGGTCCGTCCGATTTCAATCCTTAATGTTATTTATCCATTCGATTTTAGTCCCTCAGACATTTTAGTGACTTTAATAAAAGGGACTTAAAATGAAAGGGTTAAACAAAATTAATAGCATGGAGACTTAAACCGGACGGACCAATAACGTAAAGTACCATTTTTCCTTAATTTTTTCGGTAACCAAAGTCGGTCAGACCGATAACAAAAGAGACTATAGACATAGTTTAACCTTTTTAAAATTAATTATTAAGATAAAAATTTATTGAAATAGCATCTATTTATATTGTTGAGTAATTTAAACCCTAATACTTTAAACCTTCAATTGCCTTCAGTCACCTCCACGGTCGTATCCACCGTTTCCATCACCGAAGCCGAAAGCTCTTGATCTTCCAGTCTCACGATCAATAACGATCTTCATTCGACCATTTCCAAGGTGCTGAAAGCTTCTTCGAGGGCCCGGTCGTCAGTGGCCCATGCGAGCCCTCCAACGAAGCACCGGAGCTCAACATCAACGGCGGCCATGAGAGAAAATATTCAAAGAAAACTGTAAGGGTCAGATATTTTGGTGAGGTAGCTGTGAATATATTTAATTTTTTAACAGTTTTAATTTTATATTTTCAAATTTTAAATTAAAAAATAAGCTCAAAACTTCCGAAAATAATCAAATTTATTTTTTTTTTTAAATTGAGTGCCTTGAGCCTTTTTTCTATCGATTTTAATGCTATTAATACTTCAATATATCGATTTTATTACACTTGAAAATTAAAAACAGATTGCATTGGGGAACTCATTTCTATAGTGCTGTGGAGTCTCGACTCTCTCATTTATTTTTGCAAATCAACATTGAATAAATAGGTCAGTCGAACTTCCTTCTTTTCTTTCATCTTTTCCCCTTAGCGAAGGGGCGAAAGAGAACCGACTCGGTATTGCATACTAACCCAACTACGTCTGCATCCTAAAATTATACCCAAAAGAATTATATGTTAGTTTTTCCAATTCCCCTTTTATTTGTATTGTTAGTTCTAGTTTTATCAATATTTATTCTAGAACATATACATTGTTTTCTTTTGATTCCTTCCTTTGTATTGTAAAAGGTTCCGAATACACATAATAGAGCTTGATCCTTCCTCTGTAACTTCTGGAGGGTGGCTTGAAGATACGTCATTAGTAGAGAAGTATACAATTTCTGAAGATGAATACATCAAACGTTCCGGTAAGTCAGTTACCTGCAAAAACTGATTCTGCAATGTTGTAGACTTGAAATTGTTTTCCTCTACTTTTGTTTCATTTTAAATTAACATTTATTTATTTGCAGTGGTTTGAACTTTTTTTGTTGTTTCGGGTACATTTAGGAAATTCAAGGAACAGATGGCATCTCAAAATCCATCTGCATTTAAGAATAAAGTAAGTGCCTTATTTGATATATTCAAGTCTCTGTGTGAGTTGCTAGCCTTAAGATGCCCCTAACAGTAGCAACTAATCTTATATGCAAGTAGGCACTAGCAAGGTTTTGTGCTGCTTATTACGAAGTGCAATCATATATTTATTGCTTCTATTTCTTTCTTGGTATGCTTGATGAATTCATTTACGGATGTCAGACGACTACATGGAAGACCTCTGTGGAAATATCACGGTTGGTGTGAATTATTATTTTTCACTTCTTCGGCTGCACTTGGCATTTTCTTCAGAATAGTAAAATACATTTTTGAATTCTCATGTTCTCCATTTCCGGTATGTGTTTTTTTTTATGAAGAAAAGGTAGCAAGGTAATACATTTATCATTTATTGATTTATTCCCTTTGGACATTGATAGTCCCAGAAGGAATTATTCTGTATCTCCTCACTCTTGAGTCTTGACAATGGTTTCATAGTGATGCGAAAAAATTAATAAAAAAAAAATCAGTAGTAGCTAAAATTTTCTAGTTTCATCATCTTTACAGATCAGAGATTCGTCAGTTTCATTTGTGCTTTCTTTTTAAAGTGCCAAATAACGAGGACTAAAACCTGTAGTTTTTGTTGTAGATTCTTAAGGGAAGCTAGTAATGAAGGACTTAGACTGATTGATAGAGTCCTTTATTAATGTGACAAATAAATGTCAATTAATTCGGTGTTTCATGCTTAATGCTTACCTATAACTGAATGTAGTTTTATTATATCACTCCTAGAATATGTTTTTTTCAGACTATTTTCTGGTGTTAAGGATGTCCTTGGTACTTTTCCCCTGTTTCTCAACATATCGAATATCTCCTGGGCTATTTTGCATCTTGCTTCAACTTATGTGCCATAGATTTTCTTCTCATTGTTTCAAATCAGGTAGGACAGATGTGAAGTTGACCCAGGGGAGAAAAGAGGGGTTATCAAATATGTGGGTCGGGCAGAAGCACTGGGACCAGGATTTTGGATTGGAGTTCAATACGACGAACCGCTAGGAAAACATGATGGCATGCATGTAAACTCTATATTCTTATTGTCCTAATGTTGTCACTTTATATATATGTGATAGAAACTCATATAAGGATAGATATATTTTTTGTCAATTATGTCATTTTAAAAGTGTGGTATCTAATTTATTCAAGTTGAAGGTTATTTATGTTCCTTTTTTTAACACAGATGCATTAAATTGGTTATCGTTGTTGGATGCACATTAAATATTATATCTTATTTGAAGGCATTTTTATCTAAATGAATGGAAATTATTTTTAGTGGTGGTGGACAAACAAGGATAGGAAATGAGAACATTTTGGATTCAGTTTATATTTTTTTCATAGTTGCATACAAAGTACGAAGGATCTATATTTCAGTTCCTCATTCACAAGACTGTTATTGCTTGGTGTAGCATTCCTTGTTGCCCTTAACATTATGACTTATTGCCTATATATGTCATGTTGACATTCATTTTGTCAGCTGCCTGATATTTTTTGTTCATGCTTGAACCAGACATTGTGGAATTCTGAGTCATTTTAGTGCTTTATTTGTTTGAATGTGTTACAAAATCTGTTTGTCATACTGCAGGGTGAAAGGAACTCGGTATTTTCAATTCCCTTCACTTTGTGGTGCAATGGTTAGGCCTGACAAAGTAAAGGTTTGTATGCAAATATGACAAGTGATTTAAGCATTCTGGGGATTCTTTGTTGCATTTTCAAGTTCAAATAGTTTTAGGTTGGTATTCCTTTTATAGAGCATTACCCTCCAACGAATTAATAAATTGCAAGAGCTTTCCTTTAAAGCTAACCCTGGACAAGCTTCTTACCCACTAGCATCTTACCTTTTTCCTTTTTCTACATGTGGATCTTAATTGCAAGAGCTTGTAATGCAGATATATTCATGATGGAGTTGCCCATGCTTTAAGAAAGAATGTTAGCTACTTAACCTTCTAACATTGTTTGTTTCATCATGTGTTTCCTTCTAATTATTATTTATAGCATAATTAAAATAGCAAAGAAAATTATTCTCGACTGCTAATTGATTTATGGTAGTGGATAGGACTTAGGAAGGGATAAGAATTTTAAAAAATGGGATAAATGTTGAAGTCATTAGTTCTTTGCATATTATACATTAGGGACCTAATCAGTAATTCTTTTTTTCCGTTGAAAGATGTGGATCTAAATCTTACCCTAGTGCTGCTGTGCCTTTTTTGCCAATCTATGAAGTGACCAACGATAAGTGAAAATTAGTGAGTTCTCTTCATTTGCGTTCAAAAGATTTGTGTAAGACTTCTCTGTTAAATCATCTATCTCTGATGGACTCAGTTTTTGTCTAATTCTTCTTGTTCATTATATGTAAGATTTTGCATATATGTTTAACAGGCAGCTTAATTGATTTTCACATCTAAAGTTCAAGAGTTGTATTCTATCAGTAAAACATTTGAGGTCTCCTGTCCTTTATCTGTGTTTTGGCTCCTATTGATTTGAAACTTAGAATGGCACTTCCATTTTCAGGTTGGCGACTATCCTGAACGAGATCCCTTTGAGGAGGATGAGATATAATGTGGTTGTGAAAGGGTACCGCTACATTTCTGTTTCCAAGCAATTTCAATAACATTACAGGCTGACAATGCTACATTTGTATTTGATGTTATTGTAACATATATGGTATGAGAATGATGAGTGGGAGTGTTTGAAAGATGATAAACTTTAAGCATGAAATGCTGGTATTCTTCTTTTTGTTCTTGCTGCTTGACTTTTGTTGCAGGAAAAGAACGAAAGAGATCCCAGAACAGGGACAGAGATGATACCTGAGCAGTACTCAACACTCTTTTCGTTCCATTTTCCCTGTGTGGTTGCTTAAAAGTGCAAATTGATTGAGTTCTGTTGAAGTTTATGGAATATTGCAAACTATGTTTTCCTTAAGCGATCCACTCTTTTAAGACGGTCAAAACCAGGTATGCAAAAACTTGCTTGATACTGGGAATATAATCTTGAAAACTACAGTTCATAATATTTTGTACTCGCCTTGTGGTAGCTAAGGCTTTCAAACCCGCACTACATTCACAATTGAGCCAACAAGACTGGCTGTCATTTAGGGACATTGATGGCAACCCTGGTTAGGGAAGATTTTATCGCCTTCAAAATATGGGAATTGAATGCAAACTCTTTGTAAAGCATATTCATTTAACTAGATTGCTTTGCAAAGCATTTCATTTCATCCTATTATTATTCACTTAGATCACTTTATTGATATGTGAATATCAAAATCAATCATTAACATGACACACTTCATGCTTCATACTTGATAGGCACAATAAGCATGCTTTTGATTTCATACTCGCATACCAAACATTAATGGCACATGTAGTTCATATTGCATGGTTAATCTCAAGCCCTGACGTGATATGTATATAACAAATTAAAGTAAACTGCACGAACCTCGACACCGAAGCTATAAAAACCAATATTAAACTTGTAAATCTAGCTTCCTTCAATCAGCAATTCTTCCAAAATCCTCCCTTAAACACTCCAAATACCATGATCAACACAAATAATCATGGGTCACTTCAAATCAAAATTCTCAAATTTACCAAGATTATTATAAACGAAACTTGAATTCATCACCTTTTCATTGAAATCAATATTCTAGCTTGCCTCAAATATATCTTCTTTCCATTTATTTTCAAATGAAATCTTGGGCTTTGAAGAACATAGTTTATAACTCTTGTTTCATTTGTTAATTAAAAAGCCTCTAAACTCTCTCTCTCTCTAATCTTTTAATTTCGATATTGATGGGGAAGGAAGAAAAAAATGTCAGATTGACGGTATCTCCATTCTCTTCATTTTGGTTGGTAACTAGGAGAGAAATGGTGGATTATGATTTATTTGTTTATTTATTTATATCCATTTAGCAAGGTCTCTCCAGATTGATATGCAAATGTAGATAGATCATTTTCCACTATACATTTCTGGGAAAATTGCCCTCTAAGGACCCTTTCTTTTTTCCTTTATCCAAATTCTTTTTAAAATTTATAACTAAATATTTAATTCTTATCTTTAAGCTTTAGATTTAGTTGATTTCATGTAGAAACATGGATGTACCGAGGGAGGCAGTAGCCCCTGAAATCTTACAATTATCTTATATTTTAAATTTTTTCTATGTATTTTCTATTGAAAATCAGTTCACCCTCTAGAATTTTATAACTTTAAGTTCACCCTAAGAATTTTATAAGTTCAAGTTCACCCCAAACATAAAATCATGTGTCCGTCTCTATGTCGAAATTAGTTATTAAATTAATTAATTTTAAGACTCGATTTTATTAAATTTAACGTCCATGTCAATTGAATTTTAATATAAAAAAGTTTGAGTAAAAATATGAAGATACCAATATTTAAAAAAATATATATATAAACAACTTATTTACTTTACATATTCGTTAATATTTACATTAAATACTCGTTCATGTTCAAATTAAATTATATATTTATTTTTTTATAATATAAATTAAATAATAAACGAAACAAATATATATATATATATTATAAAAATTTTAAAAATAAGCTAGACTACATCAAGATTAGACTCTGACCACTAAAACTGAAGCTAAACTCACATTTTAAACAAATATTATTATCTAAACTTATCTTTTAGACCTAATTCTTTTCCATCAAAGCTATTTAAGTATGGTGCGAACTTTGAGGCTTAAAAATTATCTTCTTTTGATGCAATCAATTACCTTTATGGATGTCTTATAGGTGAAAAGCATAGGGCTAAAATCATTATGTAAATAAATATAGAATAATATAAGTTTCGTAATTTATTCAAAAGAAATGAGATATCTTCATGATTAGGAAAACAGTTGGGATGTTTAGTGGGAGCTTCAACCATTAATATATGTATATGTTCATTATGATTGTTTAGATTTGATGGATGCAAGTTTTAAAATCCCTTTTTTATGTTTAGATTGGTTATTATATTTCCTAGCTACTTTAAACATCATTACTTTCAGTTTCTTTCTTAACTTTTAATTGATACTTGATTTTCTTTATTAATGGATAATTTTATTTAAATATATATATTAATTATTGATATTTTATTTACTGATCAATTAATCCATAATAGGATATTACCAATATCTATTTATAGAAATGATCTTCCTAATCTAACATGCTCCATTCATAATATCAAAATTTAAATTCATGAATTTAACTAAAGAATCTTATGTCTTATCTTACTAAACATGCTAATTATAGGTAAACATATACCTCTTTAATGATCACAATATTATCTATTTTATTAATTTTATAGCTCTAGGGGTTGGAATTAAGTGCAATAAGATACAGAGGCATGAGAACACCCCAATGAAGGATAGACAAGTAAATAGAACTTTTTCATTGCAATAATGAATCACCCATTTAGGGAAACATACAATAATATTCAAAATGTGGGCCTCCACCATTTTCAATTTCCATACTTTAATTGTTCAAATTTTATTTGACACATAAAAGTTTGGATAAATTTTATGTGAAAGGAATATATTTCTTTATAACACATAAATCATCTGTATGAAATTGTTCTCAAATTCTTTTCTTTTATTTAGAATCAAAGTGTCTTTTATGTCAGTTTCACTTTTTTCTTGTTTTTTAATGGTATGAGGCGATTATACGATAGAATTTATTCGTAATATTACTTATATATTGACGACGCACACAAATCTTGTAGACGCAACTACTCGAATTCAAGACTTTTAGGGAAAATAACACTCCCTTATATCAATAAGATAAATCAATGAGTTAAACTATTAATAAATACTTATCTTTCAAAGTTTATAATTGTCCTTCAAAATACCATCTCAAAAGTTATTTCTATATTCTTTATAAGCTTCTAATTTATAAGCACATTTCACTTGGATCAATATATGATTCGTAAAAATTTATTACTTGAACTCAATAATCTCTTAAGCATGTGGTTAAAAATTAGTTTTATTTTATTAGTCAAATATTATTAAAGATATTTAACTTTAACCTAGACAAAGCTAGGGGACATTTACATGTATTTTTTTATTCATACAAGCTTTTTCTATATTCTTTATAAGCTTCTAATTTATAAGCACATTTCACTTGGATCAATATATGATTCGTAAAAATTTATTACTTGAAGTCAATAATCTCTTAAGCATGTAGTTAAAAACTAGATTTATTTTATTAGTCAAGTATTATTAAAGATATTTAATTAAAGACAGAGTGTCGCAAGGAATATAAAGGATGAATGTTGGCAATAATGTATAGGATAATCAAATACCAAAAAATTCAGAAGACCTAAATTAATAATAAACGTCCTTAAACTCGGCTAATTGTGCATGAAACGATGCAGCTGGATTCACGACAATCAGAATATATGAATTTGTACATTTCTGCAAGTAACCAAGGCACACCAAGTTGACTGCTGTATAATTTCCCCATGACATCCATTTGTGACTGAAAATGCACCTATAAGTTCAACAACATACATACATATATATATATATATATATATATATATGAAGAAATCGAGGGCTGGGACAAGAGAGATAATATTAAGAGATTGAGGGTCTAGCTGTGAAAAATTGGGAGGGTGGGAGGCCAGAAATGGCAAGGGGGACAAAAAGGAGGATTACAAGGAGGGAATCCAGATTTAGATAATACCAATTATAATATTAAGCTGTCCTGTGCGTTAGGGGTATTCGCAGTCGGTTTGGATCGGTTTTTGACTAAAAATTCATCCGATCCGAAAGTATAAATGTTTGCGGTTTGGATGTTTCTAAAAAAAATCCGATCCGATTAAGTGTGGTTTGATTCGGTTTGAATGTTTCTAAAAAAAATCTTGATAAACAAACATTGTGCAGGAAAAACACAATACTTAAGAATCATATTTCCATTAAAATGTTTGGAAATGAAATGTTTACATAGGCCAGTTTGTCGATTAATACAATTCAGTGAACTCTCAATTCTCCAATTCTTCTTTTCCTCTGTCTTCTGCTTATAAATGGCTTTAGTTTTCCCTGTCTAGAAGAGGTTGTAAATTAGAGGAAAATTGAAAAAGTAACGAGGGTTTTAGTACGGCTAGCGTATTCAATGAATCATTCATTCAAGCTTCCCCCTCCACATCCATACAAGCATGGCTGAATCCAACGCTACAACATACTATCATCAATACTTATTAAAAAAAAGCATTCCATTGCCGGGACTTGAACCCAAGTCTCTCGGGTGAGAGCCGAGAAGCCTGACCAAGTAGACTACAACGAAATCCTAAAAGTGTTTCATAATTCTTATATTTGTCAGATTCTCTAGACAAGAAATATGGAAAAAGCATTTTAATAGATATCGGTTTGGATCGGTTTCGGATTTTCAAAACCGGAATCGAACCGATCGGTTTTGTGAAAAAAAAATCAAACACACTAAATCGATTATCGTTTTTTGGATCGGATTGGACCTGAACACTTTTACTGTGCGTGGTCACAGTCAATTGTTGCATCCCATACAAGACAATCAACCAATCAATTTTGTCCATTCCTACGTTAATAATTAGACAAGTAACTGTATAGCCAATTAAGCTTCTCCAAACAAAAACCCATTGAAATGAAGGGGGGAAAAATAAGAAAGACAGCTCATTTCTTTCAACATAAAAACGTGATAGCCATGGAGTGGTGTATGATTTTACGTTAAGAGAGTGAACTTTTATAAAATTTTAGAAAACAAAAATAAATTTTAATAAAAAAATATATTAAAAAAATTTAAAATATATAATAATTTTAAATTTTTTTTACAGGGGACAATCGCCCTATCCAGATCTATCCAGGGTGGTGAACTGAAATCTTCTGCCTCCTTTTTAGTGCTCCTCCAATCAAATATTGACACCTGGATCAACTTTTTAATCCATTAAACATATTTTAACCCTTAATAAATACACCGTTTATTTCCCCGTTAATATTTAAAAAGAAATATTTCCCAGCTAAAATCCCAACATTAAATTTACCATTAAAAAAATATTAAACAGGCATTTAATAAACTCATCTGTTGAGAAAAGGAACCCACCATTAAACTCATCCATTTTATTTAGGCTTTCTATTTCTCCTCTTTAAATTTATAAATTCTATAAGTACGTTCTTTCAATCATTTCATACATGATTTTCTGTCTGTCTGAAGTAAAACATGGTTCAATATGATATATTTTTAATGGTTTTCATGCGTTATTTGGGGAGCAAATCGGCTCTAAACCAACATTATCGTATCTGAGCCACGAGCTCACTTTTACCAAAATCGGAATTCTCAACGACACCAGAGTTCAATTCGAAAGCCTGATTTCCTTTTACAAAGAAAATAGTGCTGGAAGTAAAACCGAGCTAAACTTGGACTAAATTTTCATTTATTTTGGGAGTGTCCTAAAATGGTGGTACATTTTGTAGGTGAATATAATCAGAATCCAGCAACAATTAGAGTACTTCAGGCAACATCAGAAGCGAGTGAGTGCACTTATTGGATCTTAACAAGCTCAACGCCTAATGAACGAAGCACTCGTTCTAATGATCCTTCTCTTGTGTTTCTTCCAAATGTTCTCTTTGTAACAATTGAGCTCGTGGCATTTGAGCCTACAAATATTAAAAAGATAAAATAAGTATTATAATCAAAATAAAAAATTTACAGTTATTTATTACAATATAAGCATTACCTGCGGTACATCCATCACACTTGTAGTTGTAGATTGATTCATGATGTTCATGTCCAAATTAGAATCACATTGTGGCTTATTAATGAAAAAGAAGTTAGAAAAATATAAAATGGATAATAATCTTTATAGAACTCAAATGTAATCATAAAACGTAAATTACATGTTTGTATTGAGATGTAGGTTGACCGCATGAATTCAAAGCATTCAAATTTAATTGATTGATGTCAACTTGAGATTATTGCCAAATATTTAAATATTTAATTAATACAAAACTAGTTCATTCCTATATAAGAAAACTAAATAAAATTAACAATATATATATATATATATATATATTATGAAAAAAAATTAGTATGATATTATATTAAAAATATAAAATGTTAAAAAATATTCAAGAAGTAAATATAAAAGTATTAAGAAATTATTATTGTTACTTCTGTATCTCGTACCCTCTTTTCTAATTTTTCATTTCGACGATTTTTCTTTCTTGTGGCTTTTTTAAGAGCATTTTTTGGTCGAATCGATGATCCACCTTTTTTCCTGGGTTTACACTTGATTCCTTTAACTTTTTTCTCATTATTCTCAATTTATCCAATTGCATCAACTTGGGAATTATTTTTTGCACCGTTTGCGTTCGAAGATTCTTCAATCGATAATTGCTTCAAGGTTGCCTCAATTTTACTTAATGTATGTTCTCTATCACCCATGGCAATATCAAATTAGTGTTCACTCATTGCAGCCCGTGCTGCTAAATGAGAATACCATCCAAGTAAAATTTTGTAACGAGCTCCTACATCTAATTTAGGATCATTTGATCTAGTAGACATTGACGAATTTATTGTAACTCCGATCTTCGCTTCTTTCGTCCATCTTTTCAAAATGTATTGTCTTGGAACTCGTTTGAAATTTTGAAATGAGAGCACCTTCAAAGCGTCCGCACATAAAATACCGACAAATTCAAATTTCTTACAATTATAACTGACTGTAGATTTGATGAGTCAAATATAACAATATAATTCCTGCAGGAGTGACTTTATAACTAGCAATAGTCCTTGTACTTTCAATAATGTGCATCTCACAGTCCCAAGTAAGCCATAATTCTTTCAAAAAAAACTTTAAATACAGTTAAAGTATACACATCTGCAGCATGTCTCAATATCTCTACAGGATATGGGAGAGATGGCTTACTTTGATTGTCCTTGTAGTCAGCTTTCAACTCGTCGTAGCATCTATCAGCCATTAATCTTTCAAAATGACGAAAGAAAAGTAGTAAATCGTTGTTATAACCAATATACATCTTTATTTGATTATTCATACTCTCACTTCTTTGAGTAGTGGACATATTTGCACAGAAAGTTTGTCTTCCATAAACTAAAGCCCATTTTTCTCTCAACTCGAATTGCTTCTGCAACCAACTGTTATTCTTCAAATTGTACTCTGCAAGCATTTGATCCCATGCATTTAGAAAATCTTCCTCTTCATTGCGATCATAAACGCAACAACTAAAATCTTTAGCAAAACTACTAAATCTCTCAAACACATCACTAAGATGTTTCGTTGCATTTTGGTACATATGCCACACACATAATAGATGACATGTTTCAGGCCATTGTGAAGCAAGAGCTTTTGCCATTGCAGCATGTTGATATGCAAGAATCGTAACTGGTTTTTTTCCTGACATTACTTTCGAAAATAAATCAAATAACCAAATATTACATGTTTCATCATACAACAAAGTCTCACCAAAGATAACAGTTTGCTTATGATGATTAACACCTACAAATAGCGCAAAAGGTCTACCATCTTTATTTTTTCTATATGTAGTATCAAAACATATCACATCTCCAAAAGATTCATAATCTAATTTCATCCTACCATCTGTCCAAAAAAAATAATCGTTTTGAAGTCATCAAGATCAACCTGAATGGCATAAGAAAAATTTGGATCATCATGTTGCATATTTTGTAGATACTTCATTACCTCGCTAATATCTCCAACTTTCATCTCTTTCATTCTTCTAGTACGCAAGTAATTACTATAATTTTCAGGAATAAAACCAAGATTCACAACCCCACCAATTTTTCTAGCTAAAAACTTGAAACTTTCTTTTGGTGTTAATCCTGAGTGATCAACAATTTCAAGTTCTGCAGCTTGAGCAAGATTAATTGTCCTTTGAGATCTTAGAAACATTTGCTTAGGAGAAGCCAACGCATGATTATGATCTGCAATAAATTTTGTAATTTGAAACTTACCATTAAATCGCGAAATTTTTAATGCAACTAAGCATCCAAATCTTGTTTATGGACGATGATATTTTACATGATCATCTCGTTTATCCTTTATTCGGGTACCTTGACAAGAACAACAAAAAAAACCCTGTTTACCCAATGGTCGTATTGATCTTTATGTCATTTGCTTCTACAGATACTAAATCCCACCTCTCCGGCATATGTGTAATAAAAATCATAAACTTCTTGTTCTGTATTGAATTTCATGCCAACTCTCGGAATAAAATCATTAGATAAATTTGCATGAATTGGGTAGCAAAATTATTATAATAATCAATCTCGCTCAAAAATTTATCTTGCTCTAAAACTTGTTTATCCATTGGTTCAATTGATGGAATAACTTTCACAAACTCTAATCTTCTACATGGACTTTTAGTCGTTGCACTTATATCTCCGTTCATAACCTGGAAAAATAAATTTTCTTTTTTTATAAATAAATAAATTATTTAGAGTAATCACAATATAAAAGTGTCATATAAATTTAATCAAATTAAATTTTACAAAATAAAAATAAAAAGAATGAAAATCAATACTTACGAAGAGTTAGAGGTACACGATTGGAAAAGAAAACGATGTATTTATTAAGGGTTAAAACGTATTTAATGATTTAAAAGCTAATTCATGTGTCAATATTTGATCGGAGGGGCACCAATAGGAGCACTAAAAAGAGGCAGAGGATTTCTGTTCCCCTGGTGATAGCAATCCATATAGCCTAATAAAGCCCTATAAACCTCCTACCACCAAAACCATTACACATTTTATACAATAAATTACGTGTTTAGTCACCAATTATTTTTATAATTCTATTCGATTACTCAATTATTATTTTTTAAATCATCATTAAATTTATATTTTTATTTCATTTTATTTATTTATCATTAAGAAAAATAAAATTAATAATATATTTTTATTAATGACATAGTATTACATGTCAACATCATTGTTAAATTTTTAATAATGAGTTAATAAGAAAGAACAAAAAGTTAATTTAATGATGGTTTAAAAAAAATTAGATCAAACCTATTTTATATCATGATGATAATTTTCACTTATGGGTGTGTATATGTATATTACATACACACATACATGCATGCATACAATTGAAAGAGGTGAGTGTGGTGGCGTGGGGGGACAAGAAAAAGAAAAAGAAAAGAAGTAACAGTGAAAAGAGGGCATTGTATTTTAGATACTATGAATGAATACAGAGGAGTTGACAGATTGACCTGAATTTCTCCCTCCATCAACACCACAGAGCAAATCTCTAATTCTCCTTGTCTCATCTCCGATGAAACTGCACTTGATATCCATGAGAGAAAAAATAGACTTGTAATTGAAATCAAAGGACTGACAAATATATAAATCCAATAATCTCTCATGAATGAGTTTTCATACTATTTTGCCTGTCTTTCATCATTCACTTTTTTTATATAATATATATATATATATATATGGAGAGAGAGAGAGTTGGAGCTAGAAGTCATGAGAGTGATGGTACATTGATGTGTCATGTCGGTTCATGGCTTCCCTTTGACTGTTGTGGCTGCTCTCATCGTCACCCTCCATTCTCGATCCCATTCGGGTAGCACCCAGATTCAGATAAACCATCCTCGAATCCAAATTCAGGTTCCCACTGCTGCTGCTGTTGTGTTCGTCGCTCATCGGAGGGTAAATCGCGGTTGAAGTTGGTGTGTTTCCGCTCCCTTCTTCACGCGAGATAACCATGGCTGCTGATTGAACCAGCTCTAGGCATAGCCTAAGCTTATTGGGTTCAATGTGAGTTAGCCCTGGGACCGCACCTTTGAACAAGAAATCCGAGGTTAAAGTTCGAAGGATGTCTAGTGGAGTCACCCCATCGACGGTTCTTACGTTAGGATCCGCGTGGTGGTCTAGAAGCACCGCCACCATATCCGGTGACACCATTTCCGCCGCAATGTGAAGTGGGGTTTTGCCTACAGGTCCCGCCGGGTAGTTAACGTCGGCTGCACCGAGCTCTAACAAGGTTTTAACCACTTCCCGGCTGCAATTCTCGACAGCATAGTGTAGAGCCAGTGCTTCATCAAGATTCAGACCTTCTCCCATTACCATGAGCTTGACTAGTTCCACATCCGATGAGTCCAATGCCCTTCTCATCCTTCGAATCTTCTGGTCCTCGAGATCAGCGGCCGCGGACAGCTCATGGTGGTGGTGCTGGTAGTGATGATGATGGTGGACCAACGACCGCCTCGCTAGCGATGACTTGAGACGCAGCTCTTCGATTTTGGCCACCACGTCGACAGGCAGATGCTTGGCGAGAACTTCCGGTGGTAACCCCGATTTAGCCACTAGGTGTGAACAAGTAGTCCAAAGCTGGTGCATGTCTTGCTTTCTCGAAGCTATTAGTACTTTCATAACATCTTCGATGGATGCCTTCTCAACCATACTCACCAATTGTTTCTGCAAAAACAAAGACAACAAAAGCGTCAGCTTTGTGGTAAACACCCTTCATTTGATCGGTTTATGCCACACAAAAAAAAGCGTATAGTTAAGTGGGTTGTTTTTTTCCTCCTATTTTCATTTTTGAAATTAAACCCAAATGGGGAAAGTGAATGTTTGGGAAAGATTGTGTGCTTACAGTGGAAGCCATTACAGGAGATGATCAAGATCTAAATTTAGAAACCCTTTGGTGTGTAGCATTTTGAATGAAGAAGCCCAATTCAAGAAAAACAGAAAAAATAAGGTTGTACATAAAATCAAGATAAACCCTTGTTATCTTTTTGGGTTATTGGACATGAATACCATTTTTATGTTCTCAAAAGTAAATAGTGAGTCTTTCCAACATCAACAGTGGTCTTCAAGAATGAGAAGAAGAAGTCAAGATGATGGATGAAGAAACACAGTAAAGCAATCAATGGTTGAATCAGGTGATGTAGCCGAAAATTTCTGGGGGAAAAATACTAGCAGAAAAGGGAAAGTGCCGAAATGATCCAATCCAACTGCCTTTCCAAGGAAGGAAATTTGTAGAAGCAGTTAAAAGAAAAGAAACCCAGTTTGATGGTGTTCATGATGCCATGATAAAAAAAATAGGGAAAAAAGAGATTAAATTACACTTCTCGAAAACCCAAAACACAAAGAGTAACAAGACTTCACAGACGCAAGAATCAAGAACCAGACAGCAGATAGCAGAGAAAGAGAGAAGAAAAAAAGGAGAGAAGTTCATGGGCTCTGATGATGATGATTTGATGACAAACAAAGGGAAGGTGAAACCTGAGTAAGAAATGCAAGCTGTTCGACACCAAAGTATCTAGCGGCGGCGAGAGTATCGAGAGCCAGATCAACGGCGGAGGTGCAATGCGTATGCCAACACGCTCTCTCACTACAATTAGGCCTCGGCTCATGCTTTTGAGGCACAATAGAGACTTGTCCGCTGTACAGGAACTGTAACAGCAGCAAGAACACTTCATATCCCACCGAGTTCACCGGTATAACACCAGGACGAGACCCCGCTGCCGACGCCGGCGAACCTCCCGAGCTCATCCTCGAACCAACCGGGTCTAACCCAGACGGAGGATCGGGTCCACAGAAGAATTTCCTAAAGAAGAGACTCCGTGCAGCTAAAATACATCTGTGGGCATGAACTAAACGACCCTCCACGCTGAAAGTCACATCGGAGAAAGCTTGACCGTTGATGAGTAGATTGAGGTAGTCCAGGGAGAGAGATCTTAAAGACTCTTCAAAGCTACTCATTTCTAGGGTTGTTTTTCTCAATAGAAAGAAGATCAAAAAAGCCGTATCCTTTTCTGGTTTGTTTTTGAACAATCAAGAAGAAGAGATGATGGATTCATTTGAAAAGGAGGTTACTGTTATTGGTTTTTCTCCCCCCTCCCCCCCTTGCATATAGAGAGAGAGATTCTTTGTTGCCCGGGGAAGAAGTGGTGTGGTATAGATATTTTGTTGATGGATAGAGAAAGACAAGTTTAGAAAGAGAGAGCAACATGGGTGGCTGTTCTGGGCGGCCGGGCTATTTAAAATGCTCAACTAAATTAAAACTAATTTAGTGCTAAATTATTCTTATTCTTACCTATATATATATGGTCGGGTATGACGCTGGATAAATTATGATGGTACACCAATTTAATTTTTTTTTGATACATTAAGCCTATTAAAACACAGCAATTATGTTCCAAATCTCTTTACTTTTAATAGTAATTAAATATTTATGCCAAATATGTCAATCTTTGTTCTCTAATCATTCTTATCCGTTGTAGGTTTTAATACTTTGCTACATTATTATTTATTACTTTCGAACATGGTCTCTTATTGCTTTTTCTTCCTTTTCACCTTTATAAGTAATTTTTTTATTAATCTAAAGTTATTATAAAGTAATGTTTATTCTAAATACTCTCAACTATTTAATAATAAACGTTTGATCACTTTGTTATAGTTGTTAGTGTTCGAACCCATGAGTTCATGACCTCCAAAAACAGAAACGGTTCTTTTATCGACTGATATAAGCCGGTTCGTGTTAAATTTATAAGTATTTAAAATCGTTCAAATTATTTATAAGTATACGAGATTTTTGTTAAATAATTTCATCGATAAACGTATTTTGAAGATCAGACCAATGAGAGAGAAGAGAATTAACCCGTAAATACTCTAACCTGATTCAACTAATTAATTAAAATAATTAAGTGTTATACTTTCGGGTGTAGGAGTACTTTGACTTTCAAATCAGTTAGAAGGTATAGATAAAAGTTTTGACAAGTTCACATGATCTACTAGAGAAAAATTTAATGTCTGACGATTAAATTTATCTAATCTGTTAATTTACAAATATATATATAATGATCTTATGTCTAACACCACCAATTAGAATTACAATAAATACCCAATAATTATAATTAAGAATGAGATTCTAATCTCCATAATTTATATACACAATCTCCTTCCTCTTCGATCACAAATTTCCTCTCGTAATAAAATATCGGTTAATAACTATTTTTTTTACTAATTATGATTTTCCATTCAAATAAAAAAAATAAACTACCAACAATGGAAAAGATATATCTTGGGTCAATGACAATTTTTTTTATTAAGCTATCGTGATTACAAAGTAGTGTCTATTTTAAATACTTTCAACCATTTGACAATGAACATTTAATCATCTTGTTGTATGTTGCAGTCGCTGGTATTCGAACCGGGATAAATGACAATTAATAACCCAAATCAAGGTTTAATCGCATACATCGCTATCACCTCACAGGCATGTCACGACCATCACTATCCTAGAACCCCCTATAGTCGGTGTATATCTTCATTAAGTTTGGGTTATTACTCAAGTAGATCATTTAACTCTCTTATCATCCCTAAAATTTTACTGATCTGACGTCACTTAACAATAAAAAGAAACTTAATATTTAATCTTGTTATTAAATCAAACCAACTATTAATAAATATTAATTATTAGATCACTTACTTCAAATTTTTTCAAACACTCAAAAAATTAAGTTATATAAGAATCACCTTTAATGAAGTTTTTCCAGCTTCTGCGTAGCAGACCTCTTTCAGTGCAATCTAGGCTGCAATTTTCTTGTTTCCACGTCGAGCTTGAATTTCCTTCCCAATTGGTATATTTAGAGTCCAAAACAGAATTTTGTAGCTCAATTAATGATTAAAGCATTACGAGCAAAAAATACAATATAGATTTAAATTGTAAATTTAAGCCCTATTGGTCTTCTTCCACCTTCTTGAATTAACTTTGGGTCTACTTCATCTTCGTAACAAAAAATCATCATGCCCAGTGGCGACGGAGTCAAGTTTCACAGATTCTTAGATAGGTTTTTAACATTATTGCTCGTTTTGTGTTGGAGTGTCATGCCTGTAAACACACACATTTTTTTTCTATTCTCTCAAAGCTTTATTATTTCCGAGTCCTTTTAAAGAGAATAGCAGCACCGTCATCGTCCAGTTCAACGATTACATCAATCGAAGCGGATTTGCTTCTAAGACACTGATACACTACAACACAGCTTGCTAATTCCTTTGTCTTAATTCTTGTTTTATCTGTTCTACCATTGCTAACGCTTCTAAGAAAAAAGTTGAAATAAGATTTAGTTGTTACTTGGAAAAAGTGAAAAAGTAAAAGATGGGTATGGGAGGAGGAGGAAAGCAGTGCAAGGCAACATTTTGTAGTTTCATTGGGTAGAGCCCAACAGTAACTGTATACACACAGAAATAAGTACGTGCTGAAACATGGAAGACTCTTTGTTGTGTGTAATAAATCACACGTAGTTATCAAGAGGTTTAAAAGATAGATAGAAAGAGAACCACCCAAGTTGTTGGTTGTTGAAGGGTTCGAGAACGCACCTTTCGGAAGAGTGCCACAAAACTCCAAATTATTGTTTCCTAATAATTGCTCTCTAATATTTCACTATTGTATATAAAACCTGTCTAATTTGCAGCCTCATCCTCACCGAAGCTATGAACCAAGGACACACATATATAGAATATTATAGGCGAATAAAATTATACAATACAATATCTGTTCAAATCTCTTTTAGTCTATTGATACTGCGAACACAATTATTAAGGTAATTCGATGAGTTTATATATATAGAAATGGTTTGGTTGTTCTTCTTTTGGGGATGGACAGGGCGTGCCTATATAATAAAAAATTATCGTGTAAACTAAAGTTTTTATATTAAGGTTTGAAGTTTATGGAATAAGAACAAATTTAGAAATTTTCAACAGGAAGGATCGACATAAAATTATAAATTTTGAAGAGTGTTGAAATTGAAAAAAAAAATAAAACAATTAATTTTTAAGTGGGCTGAAAATATAATTTTCCTGTTTAGTAAAAATGTTAAAAAGACTGAAATTATATTATTAATAGCTGCGAGGGATTAAAATAACAATATTACCATTTATTCAAAGGGAAAATGCCACTACCTACCCTTGTCTTTGCCTTGGCATAGAAGTTTCGGTTAAATTGCATATGAAAATAATTAGTTATTATTTACTAAAAAACAATTTATATTTACTTCTATAATTAACCGATTGGGTTTTAATCTATAAAATGTGGATGTGGAGCAGGATGGGAAATTTTTTATTCTTCAAATTGTGCGTATGAAGCGGTTATGGCATAATGACGAAGTAAACCCCGAATGTTTGCCTAAATGATTATTTTGACCTTTATTTTTTTAGATCATTTTAACCCTCGAAGTTTTAATTTTTTTGGTTAAAATAGCCTTTATTAGATAGAAATAGTTATTTACTAATGATCAACACATGTTATCTGCCGTAACGTCTTTTTTTTGAAGAACGAATAATTTTCGATGAAAACCCTAAATTATGATTTATTTGGGAAAATTAAATTTTTGTGTTTATTTGGATTAAATTGATTTGGAGTCGCCATCGACCTTTGGATTAGGTAGGTCGAACACCTAAAATGTCTTTTGAACAATTTTAAGAAAAATTGTTTTTAAGACAAAAAACGTGTATGCGCTTGTCAAAGATTCATTTTAGGTTCGGGAGTCGATTACACGTGGGGAAGGGTTAACACTCCCACAACACCCAAGAATTGGTACCTAATCGCTTGTATGTTGTCATGGTGGTGGAAATTATAAATTCAAATAGAAAATTAAATTATGATCCATTTATTGAACATTGATTAATTTGTTTCGAATTATTTAATAATGAACATTCCATAGTTGGAGAAGAGACCACGGGATTTGCACTCCAACTACTAGGAAAGCTATCTCACCGATTTCTTCTCTATAAAATAATGCCCTCTCTTTATTCATGGGATAAAAAAAATAAAATGCACTAATTAAAGGATTGGCATTAAATAAATAAAAAGTAAAGGGCAAAAATTTAAATGTGCATAAAATTAAATAACAAAAATAAAACAACAATAAAATAAAATGTTAGTGTTAATTTTAAATATTTAACCCAGACCGTAAATAATGCGAGTCGTACCCCGGGGCGGGTCGTCGCAATGTCGTACTATAATTTGAACATAAAATAAATAAATAAATAACAAGTTAGCAGTTAGTGATTAGATGTTAATAGAGTCTGGACCATAATAATATGGATTGTACCCCGAATCGAGTCACCACAAGGTCGATTCGAATAATAGCGATAAATAAATAACTATAACAGTGATTAAAATGAAAGAAAATAAAAATATGTGGTTAATTTGAAATAAATAAATAAAAGCATAATTAAACAATTAAATTAAAATGAAATTAAACCGAGGGTCAAAATCATAACAGATCAAACAAGATAATACATAGTGACTAATATATAAAAACACACATAATTTAGGGGGATTATTTCATAATTTTTCCTAATTTAGTGGCTAGAATGCAAAGAGACTCTAAACAACTAAGGACCTGAGAGTAATTTAATATAGGAATAGTGACTAAAATGCAAATAGATGCCTAAAGTATGGGGACCTAAGCGTAATTAACCCTTCATTTTGGTGACAAAAGTATGAAATGCACTGGAATAGAAGGACCTAATGCATGATTTACCCAAAGGTTTAAAACAAAGCCCCTCATTATTCACTTCCAGAAACACGTGATGAACAAAAAAAATAATCCTCCCTTTTTTTCTCAACTCTAACTCCTCTTCTCAATTCTACCCAAACGACCGGCCACCAAAGCGGTGACATCCTTATCCTATCAACGCCCAAAACGACCAGGGTGGCCTCTCCGGCCACCAAAACGATCCAAATTCCATTTTTCTTCAACTCCTCTCATGGCTAAGAGCCCCAAAACCCATGGCCACCACCACTTTTCGGTCACTAACGAACCAAGACCGATCGTTCAACTCCCCAGATCTGACGACAACGACACTGAAGCTTGACTAAGGCTCTGACGACTACGGGTAAATAACCTCTCCTCTCTTTTTTCATTTCTATTCGAAAAACCCAAGAAAGAAAGAAAAAGATTGCTAAAAAATACCTTTTGAATGTTTTTGTTGTTATTGTATTGATCT